TGGCAGTAAAAATAACCATATGAACACTACAGATTCTTCCATTTGTCTTAATAGACTTCTACCAGCTGCTGGGCCAGGCCTTTGTTCTGACCTTGCAGCACACAGTTTAAAGGGGTGCAGTAAAATGAAACAACTGGCCAAACCATATGCTCACCCTTTCTTTGCTTTCTATTCTCTTTACGCAGGGCCTGTATGGATAAGTGCTGGGCTTGCTAATGAAAAGGCATGGCTGAATCACAGCTATGACAGTGGAGATGTCATGATCTTTCTCAAGTCTAAGTGGCATGCTTACTCTTCAGCTTATCATCTTTCCTTTTGCTTTTGGAAGCAGGAATAATGGCTGCATCTCAAAGGTCAGAGGTACGGTAAGTATGGGACAATGTCCAGGATTATGGCTGCCACATAAGCATTGCCCAAAGTGTTCCTCCTTCCTCCTGCCTGTGTCACTCACACATTGGGTCATTGGTCCCCAGCATCAACCAAGGCAGTGTACCTGTCCCCCAGCTGACCTGACACCTGTAAGGCCTGAATCTGTATCACAGTGGTGCTCACTAAAGGCCTTCCTTCTTGCCTGCCTCCATGCCTGCCTGCCTTTCCTTCCCTGCCTTCTTTTTCTTTCCCCTTTAGTTTTCTAATTACAACTTTGCACCTTACTGGCAGTCACTAGAACTGTAGGGGAATATTATGATCTAATCCTTTCTCATTTAAGCTAACAGAATGAACCCTCAACTGCATAATAATAACACTACACATTTCTGAAGTGCTTGGGGTGGCTTGTATTTTTCCTCCATCTTTTCACATGTATAGTTTTGTTTGTTTGTCAGTCCCCTTTGGGCCATGCACTTCATATTACTTGAGCATTATCCCACACCCTGCTTACTTTGGGATTTATTTGACTGCAAACTGTGTTAAATTATGGTGCTGCATTATTAACAGGCCATATGGGTATTGGGCTTGAGAGAGAGAAGCTTAACAAGAACACAGGAAAACAATCTTCCAGATCCTTCCTTCCTTCTTCTAATACATAATCCTGAGTGCAGGAAAGAGATAAGCTATTTAAATACCATGATGGAGTACTGTAAAGGACAGCATCTTGTTAAACTTCTCTGAGAGCTCTCCATGTCCAGTCATCACCTCTGCTGGTCTTCCTCAGTACTCATCTAAAGCAAGAAAATTTTTCAATGTTATCTGGCCTGAAATAAGCACTCAGAAGCAGTTTTCTGTGTTGTCTTTAGCGTTTATACACTTTTCTGTTGCTGCTCACTGCAACAATTTTATTCCAGCCTCACTGGCCCTAGCGAGCACCTCAAGAGCAGGCGTGGTGGAGGCAAATGCCCTTTTGACTCATGTGAGCCCACCCCACTTGCACCTGATGGGTCTGATGTGGTGCAACCCTCTGCCACACGGGCTGTGTTGGCAGCCGTGGGGTCAGACTCCCTGCCCAGGCGTTTGTGTGGAGGGGAGAAGATGCTTTGAGCAACCAAAACGTATTGTTTGCAATATTTCCCAGCTTGCAGAATCCTCTTACTGTACAGTCTGGAGTGGCAGTCCTGGGGACACTGAGCTAGTGCACCATCAGAGGTGGCTGGTTTTCTCTGGGCTGATTTAAAAAGCTTTTTGTCCTCCTTGGGTTTCTCATGCTTTGCATTTTGGTAGAATTTTTCCTACCCCTGAAACTTTTCCCACACAGTTGCAAAATTGATCCTCTCAGCATGAGATATTAGAGATTTCACAGCAGATGTAATCTGATGTCTACTGCAAAAAAATGTTTTCTTAAATGTAACTGTTTCTTTCTTTGAGACATGATTTAAAAATCAATGGCAAGATGAAGTTTAAGGAATATTTAAAAAAATTATTTCACAATATCAGATTAAATAATACAAAGTAGCATAGTTTTGGTGACAACGTTTTAAACAAGAGGCAGACTGCTCAGCTGGTGGATGGTTACTGACTTGCTGAGGTGCCAAATAAGTACTGACTGGAGTATTCTGCTCTGACAGTAGAGATTATTTTTTTATTTTAGTTTATTCAGAAGATTCAGGTCAGTGCTTGATTCACTCACAATGTGGCAGTCAGTTGGTGTTGCAGGAAGCAGAAAAGCTGGTTTTCCACCCTTTAAATAATGAGTAGAAACTGGGCCTTAGAGTTTGTGAGTCATTGGCTTTAAAATCTTTGAAGTGCTGGGACTGCAAATCACTGGTTCAGATCCTCTCCTTATGTACTTTATAGAACTGCTGTATTACTTTTACTTGCAATTAACCCCAAGTGCTAAAAAGAGGTAGTTGATTAAAACATATGATCCCAGACTTTACAACAGTTTTATGTAACTAATCAGAACAATCAGTGCATTAAAAAAAATAATGAATTAAAAAATTAAACAAAAAAAATTCATGAACCACTTTGTGCAGCAAGAAGGCTCATATATATTTATGTCTAATTCATAAATAACTGCAAAGATACAAGGTACTGCCAAATGGAAAAGCCAAATTCAGCCTGAAATATCAATTATGAACTTTGACATTACATTTAGGTTTATTTGCAGGTTACATGATCTGTTTCCAGTTATTTCACGGCTTATTCTTGTGTTTCTTATAAAAGCAGCATTAGGGAAATGCACAGACCAGCACAAATGGTGTTGAAGATCAGGGGTTCTGCAATTACAGAATTACTCAGCTAAGAAGCTGAACACATGAGGACAGGGAGAACTTCATTGTGCATCACTGCTAGAAATTTTGCTGCCTTGGGATGTGGCTTCATGTCCAAGAAGGCTAAAAAAACTATGACTTCTAGAAGGCAAAAATTGATGGTCAGCTTTCACAGTGGAAGAACGTAATGGGTGGAGTCCTGTGAGGTTTTGTGTGGGGAACTCATGCTGTTCGACGTGTTCCTAAATGGACCTGAAAATGGAAAAAAAGAAGGTAATAATATTCACTGATCATGTTAACGAATGCAGAGCAGTGAATGCAAGGTTAATTGTGAGAACTGCAGAAGGACGTTATAAGAGTGAATGACAAGATGATGAAGTGGCCAGTGAAATTTGTTGTAGGGAAGCAGGAAGTGGTGTACATGGAAAAAACAATCCTAATTTGGCATATAAAATGTTGGCCTCTAAGGTGATTGCTGCCTCACAAAACTGAGCTCTTAGGCTTCTAGTTGTTCATTGTGTGAAAACCTCATCACGGTGCTTATTATTGATCACACTAACACAACGAAAATTAGGAATTATTAGGGAAGGCATGAAGATGAAAACAGAAAGCAGCGTGTTGCCATCACACAAATTCATGCTGTGCTTGTGTCCTAAATGTGTATTCACATCTGGCCCCCTCAGTTCAGAGAGGATGCAGCTGACACAGAAAAAATATCATGAAGGACAAAGATAATCAGATGTATGGAATAGTTTCTGCATGAGTACTGATTCTCCAGGTTGGGAAGGAAGTTATAAGGGAGATGGGTGATGAGGACAGAGTTAACAGGCAATGGTTGTTTGTTGATTCTTCCAACAAAAGAGCTAGAAGAGGTCAAATGAGACAGCCATCCCTGGAGATCTCTGCAGAAAGAGGCAATCCTTCACTCAGCATGCAGTTCAGATGTGGGACTGTGGGCTCCAAGTGTTATTGGGCAAATGACCTGGAGCAAAATCTGTTGAGGGCTGTTAAATACAAAAACTCTGAAAGGCTGTAAGCTGAAAATTGCACAAGTGGAATTTCTGGGGATGTTCTGGGGAAGCATAGCACTTGGCACACATATACAACTGCATCACTTCGCCACTAGCTGCTTTGGAAACAGGGTGTTTGACTAGGTGGACCTGTGGTCTGGTGGATTATGCCTGTGGTTATGCATGCAGAAGATGGATTGTACCTGAAAAGGACATTTCCAGGATAAAGAGAAGAGAAATGCAACCCTGACAAGCTCCTTCCTCTTCTCCATCTTCTTCTATAGGAACCCAGGCATGAAACTCCAGTGAAAAATCAGTGTTAAACTTTGAAGTTCACAGCCAACTGCTTTTGTGTGTGAAGCAACTGGTGGTACTAGAAGAAAATCAAATCAATTCACAATGAAAACAATGAGATATTAAAGCACTTGGGGGAAATTCAGTGAAATATTAGGGTGAAAGTGTGAGTTCCCCTGCTGTTCACATTCTCCCTCATCAGCATCCCCTGCACAAAGGACATTGCAGTGGGCCTTGAATTGCAAAGACGTCCCTTTGTAATTATGGAATGGATTCTCATGCTCCCTTTCCTTGCCTACAGTCTGGTCTACCATAACACCATGTCACACATCCCTGGTTCCACAGGGGCATTCCCTTCTCCTCTTTGGTACTTGCCCTCAAATAGATCGATACTCTTTCATTAAAGTATCTCATTAGAGATTGATTCTCTTTACATTTATATTATAAAGGCTGATCCCTCCTCAACTATTAATTGCCATTTTATTGTCCATATGTCGGTTCATGCTGAGAAGGCAAGTATGGCTTGTCTGGATTTGCTCCTACTGGGAGAAAAGGTGCACTTTTGACACATTGTTTAGATACAGTTTAAGATCTTCTGCATGGACTTCTTTTTCATCTTTCTGCAGACCTATTTATAGATGAGGACAATAACATTACAAATCTACCTGAGAAGACTGATGTTAGGATTAATGTTTCTGCAGGTGCTTGAAGATGATATGTAGCTGGTAAGGATAAAGAGACAGATAGACTGAGTCAAAAAATCTCTGCACAAGGCTAATTCACATTGTCAGGATTTTGGAACATTTAAGGGGCCACTCTGCTCCTGTTGCTGCTCTGTGGGACTCTTGTGTTTGTTGCTTTCTTCCTTATTCTGCTCTTCCCCTGAAGATTTAACCCTCTCCTCTCTTTCTGCAAAGCCTGGTCTTATTTCCGCCATGTGCTTGCCTCCCCTCATACCTACTTTCTCTCTGCTTGCCTTAGAAATCTCTGAATTTTATTTTTTTTCTCAAGGGGTAAAACTTTTCTTTCTTTTTGTTCTTTTCTGTTGCAGGTACAGAAGCTGCATCGTGAGTGACTCCCCCTCCCACCATGTCCCTGGAAGTCAGGGCAATTTTGGGTGGTTATCTTTATGAAGGACCTCAGGCCTCCCATTATTTCCCATACATGAACAACATATTTCTTTTCATTTCAACTTCCTAGGTGAGTGGAATGAATAGGTTTTCATCTGAAGGCACCATGCTGTCTGGAGAAATACACAGCAACTAACTCTCAGCCTGTATTTTGAATGTCTTCATTGTTTGATTTATTGATATTTTAATATATGTGTTTTATATTCCACCATGCCAACAGGAGCTGACCAGGGCCCCTTATATTCCTGGGCTGATTAAATTGCTCTCTGTACATCCACTCTGTAGTTCCCTATTCATTACAAACCTACATTAGCTTCTCAAGTCGGGAGTCCTCAGTAATTGCTAGTTGCTAGGAAAGAAATTTCAATTTCCATTCTATGGTAATTATAATATTTAAGCTGGATCTTTCCATAATTCAGAGAATTAATTGTCCATCTTTTATGAAAGCAATGGTAATTCTTCCCAGCTCTGCTGTCATTCTTTCCCTCTCTTGCACAGTAAACTGGAGAACAGTGTAACCTCACCTCAGCCTTTCTGTTTTTAACCATGGCTTGGCAATAGCAAGCAATAGTTCTGTTATGTCTGCTTGAAGTGGATTGTACTTCCCCAGGGAGGTGTGAAGCTTTTATTTTCCTCTCTATTGTTGCTTCTTTGTAATGAGTTTGTGGTAAGGAACATTTTGTCTGTGGAAGGACACTTAAAATTAGAGAAGGGAGCAACATATCGCTTGTACCTTTTGTTTCATGTTTCTAGGACCTGTTAAAAACAAGCTGTGGAATTGTTTGTTTGGCTGATTTGGTCCCTGAGACCACAGCAGGGTTTAACAATCTATTTTACTTGCTTTATGTTTGACAATGGGTGGTAATCAACCAGAGAGCACATTCAGCCCACTCATCCTGCTTTCCTGTGGGCTCCCTGTCACCGCTAAAACAGTCATTAGGCTTGGAGTTGTTTTTAACTTCCCAGCATACACACACCTTTATTCCACCCTGCAGCTGCTTCTAGAAAGACAAGTTCTCCTGGCAGCAAGTAGTGTTTGACACGCAGTGGTCCACTAGCCCAGGCCCATGCACAGCCCTGTGTTGCTCCAAGGGGAGCACTTTTCTTCTCACAGCTTAAGGTTTTATAGCCTAAAACAGAATCTTGCTGGCACGTGACTTGCTGATTTTCTCTCTGTCCCACTATGACCTTTGCTGGATGCTCACAGGGAGGACAGAGCTCAATGTCTTTGGCTGGGCTTTGGTTAAGGTCTCTATGGACAGAAAGGCTTTCCAGGAAGATGGGGAGGGGAGCCCCTCTGCTATCTCCAGTGCTGTTGGTCCTGCAGGTATAGGAAGGATGAAGCTGGAGAAGGGACCACCCCATCTCTCCCCCTGCCTCCAAGGCCTGCATATGCTTTAGTCAGGTGGTGATGTCAGAGGAAAACACATGGGGACTGTTTTCGAAGGGGTTGTTGTTCCCTGCCATCCCTCTGTCTAGCTGCTAGGTTTTATGCCAAGTGGGTGTGAAATAATGACAGGACAGAAGTGACATGTAGCTGGCACAGGTAGTCAAGAACGCTTAAAATGCAAAGCCCTGGAAGACAAATTCTGAAATGATGGGTAATTTGTTGCTGGCATCAATTCATCAAAACAGACTTCATTAAAAAATCACAGTACTGATCAGAACATGAGCAACCATGTACTTAATTTTCCTTTATGTTTTGCTAACCCAACATCAATATAAATCCAGTGATGTCACTGAAGCAAACCTAGCTAGAGCTGACATGATGTTGTACTGTGGTCATGCATCAGCCTTCCCTGAGAGTTAAAATTTGTGACATCCACAAGTGAAAATTAGACTCAAATTCTTGAGCTACCTTTCACTTAGAGATCACTTAGTCAGGTTATACCCCAGGGCTGAAATCTAGGGACTCCTCAGTTCTGACTTTATCTTTGTAAATGATCCTTTCCAACTTTTGGCTGAGCTGAAAAAGTTTTTCTTAAGCCATGGCAATTTAAAAGAGAAAGCATAACAAATTATAATTAAAAAAATATATAGTTAGCACACAAAGTAATCTGGTGACAATGGCAATAAGAGGCAATAATTTGGGTTCTAGGGTTCCAGAAGTTCCCAGGGCAGCTCTTTCAGGGCCCAGGTGGGAATTTCTCGTTCCATGTAGTGAGCCTCTATGCAAACCAAACTGGGGAGTGCATGGTGCTGTCCGAAGCAGCAGAGAGAGGATAAGCAGTGCACTAGGAAATTAAGAGGATGCTCAATGCTTACTTCTATGTTAGTTGCTTGTTTGTGCTTCTCTCCCTGAGTGCAACATTTCAGCAGTTCAAAGAGACTCTGGAACAACAATGACAGTTTTTACCACACTTAAAAAAATATTGTTGATACTATCACTTGAACTAGGGTTTGCACCATTTCATTTTGATCCAGGACATAATTAGATATTCTACAGCCATTTCTGTCTCCTTTAAAACTTGGGTTATAACCACAGCACTGCAAACTCAGCAGGGCTCAATCTGTGGAGCCTTCAGCTAATTAAACCCTGCAGTCTGTATTGGTTAGAAGCAAACATCCTGTGTGGGTTTGTTTGGGTGTTTAACAAGAGGAAAATTAATAAATATCCAGGCTGAATTCATTACAGCAGATTTTTTTCTCCCTCTTAGCTAGCCTGACCTTGGTGTCTTCATTTGCCATCTGGATTTAGAAAACTTAAGGCAGCTTGATGTGAGGGATGCTAAGTAGGAGAAGGTTTCTGTTATAATTATAGAGCCAGTAAACCTGGTGCCAAGTTCCTGGAAACATAAGTCCGAGGACTCATCACTCACTGTAAATATTTTGCACAGCTTTTGCAGATAATGCTGTACAATAATTGCCATCTCTACTCAAATAAGAATGTGATTAAAGCACTAGGACACATCCCAATTTTTTACTTAGCTAACAAAAGTAGTGACAGTAATGGCCTGGCATAGGCTTATGCTTCAGCATGAGCTCCCCAGCTGAATGTGAAGTTCCTGCT